CATTATTCTTTCACAATGCAGTCATTTTGACTGCTTTGGGCAATATAGGTATATACGAAGTTTCAGTCTTTCTAGTGTTAAGTACCCCTGACTATGCTCGGGCGCTACGACTTGAGTCAAGACGCCAAAAGCTCCAAGGCATTTCTCGTTACAACCATAAACACCAGTTTATAAGCCTGTGCAATATCAAAATGCTTCCTCAGCAAATTTTATTCTGCATAGATCAGTCTAATTATTATTATATAAACAGAAGATATAGTTTTTTAAATTGATATACTTAATTTTTAAATAGTTAGGAAATCCTGCCATTTCTCGTCTCGTCTCGTGCATGAATACTATTATCTATCCCAGCTAGGGAACAGTATCTGAAAACGAAAGTTGTATATGGATAGAGAGGAATAAGGCAGATAAACACGAAGGGAGAAAAACAAGTGTAACTGCATTTCGATCACGAAATCGGCTGGCGCCGTTCGACGTTCCTCTCGCTCCTCGCGGATGCCCGACACGTTCCTCCGGGCCCGAATCTCGTGTTTGCACGGCCTATTCACGACATAGACATAATCGTGGCGTGGCTGCATAACGGTAAAAACAGATCGACGTGCATTCACTTTTCCCCGTTCGCTGCGACCGGCCAGTCCCCGTCGTGCATACACTACTGCTCGAAAGACAAGTGTTTATCGCCTGACAAATGTTCGAAATTAGTAACCAGAGATCAGAGATTATCTCGATCGAAACGATGTAGTACATCACATAGTCATAATCATGCAATGAATCATAGCTACATGAGAATTGTATTTCGAATGTTTCTGTTTGCAGACGATTCCGATGTGCCGGGGTACGAGGGGAAGGTGACGAGCAGGTTTCAGACGAGAATCATCATCGGGACACCTCGCGCGAACCCCGCAAGGAACCTCAACCGATCGAAGGAAACATGGTTCTAGCGAGCCATCGACGAAGGCATCCTTCGTGGAGGATGCTGCTCGTTTTCATCGTATTTAGTTTGGTCAGGCACTGCGAGCCGATGTCGACAAAACGGCTGACGGACCCGTCGTTCTCTTCGCCGACGCTGTCAAGGAATTCCGGCGAGTCGAGGTCGCAGCTCGGCTCGCCGAGCGAGCTGGCCTGGCAAGCGTGGCTTCTGGTGGACTCGCAGACGGGCGCCCATTCCGGCATGGACTCCGCCACTTTCCTAAGACGAATCACGCCGAAAAGCGTGTTCATCGCACCCGCACTGCCAGCGCTGCCGCCGTGCGCCGACGGCTACCGGGCCGACACGATGGGCAGGTGCGTGAAAAGCGTGAACATCGACCACGAGGCTCATCTCGGCTTCCTGCTGCAACGATTGAACAATCGATACGCGAACCGGGCGAGCTCTGAGACGATCAACAACAGTCAGAAAAAATCGACCGGCCCGTTACAGTTGAACATCCCGCTGTTGTCCGACACGGACACCAACTCGTTCCACGCGGATCACGAAGAGGCGAGGGACTCGATCAAGATCCCGGTCGTGATCCCTCCCAGGCAGGACGTCGATCCGAAGCTGGAGAAGCATCCACCGGAAAGCGTAGCCACCACGCTCTATCAGAAAAGTAATAATAACAAGAAGGAGAACGAGTCTAGTTTTATTCGCGAGGATACCGGTAACGCTCCGCTTGTCAAGGATAATCGACGCGTATCGAGCGAAGGGAGAGAACCATTCGAGGCTATCGTGAGCATCTACCAACCGAAGAATAGTACTAGGGTGGAGGAAAGTGAGTCTGGTTTCTCTTATAACGATTCCAGTACCGTTTCTAGCAAGGATGACCGGCAGGTATCGAAACAAGAGAAACGACCATTCGAGATTACAGTTACGAGATATCAGACGAATAATAGCAGCAACGAGGAAGGTGGGGACGCTTTCTTCGACGAGCTCGCCAGGATCTCAGCCAGCAAGAAAGGCCAATCATTAGTGGAAAAGAAAGAATCTGTTGAGACTGTGGTCGTCTATCAATCGAAGAATAATAGTAAAGAAGTAGAAAGTGAGACTAATTCCTTCGACGACAACAGCACTGTCTCTTCCGTCAAGGATATCCAAGAGACGTCCGAGGAAGAGGAACTACCACCGGAGGTCGTAGACATTTATGACACGAGGAGCAACGACACAGAAGAGGATCATACTTTCTTCGACGAAGAGGAGGACACTACTGTTATTCCAGACGAGAGGGATGACCAGGAAGCATTGAAGAAAGAGAAACAGCCACTGGAAATCATAGTTCCAAATTTTCGTGCGAAGAATAATAGCAAGGAGAAAGACGCGAGGGAAGAGGAAGAAGTACGAGAAGAAGAAGAGGAGAACGCGTCTAGTTTCTTCGACGAACTCACGAGCACCGTCTCATCGGAGAACGAGGACGAACGCCTGTTCGAGGAGAGGAAAGAATCGTCGGAGCCTGCGGTCACCGATTATCAAACGAGGAATAACAGCAGAAAGGAGGAGAGCGAGGAGCCTAATTTCTCTTACGAGGACGCCAGCACAGTCACGTCTGGCAAAGACGACGAGGGGACCACGTCGAGGCTCGACGACGCGGTACCCGTGGCAGACTTCGTCGACGACGCGAACGACACGAGCGTCTCTGACGTGGTCGATTATAAGATTCCACTCGACCTGAGGACGCTCCTGAATATACCCAGCGTTCGAACGCTCAACTCCAGCGACGACCACGATTTATGGTGGGACGAATAATTTATAGAACAATCGCGATAAAAGTATTTCTTAATCGATTCATTTAGGCCTACAGGAATATCGGTTTCCTGCTCGAAGGTTTTATTTAAAAAGAAAAGTATATATATATTTATTGTATATATATATATATATATATATATATTATATATGTGTGTGTCTCACGCGAACTATCATACAAATCGGAAACGGACGTTCAGACTCCGATATAGATACGCCACTAGACTGTTCTCTCTCGTTTTATACTCTGAGACGTACCCAGGCAGTTTACTTATGCGAAAGTAGGTACGCGACGTCTCGGCCTGATCCTTAGATCGGACGCTCGTGCCGTCGGAGACGATCGTTTGGGGAAATATTCTTAAAGGTGCACACGAGAAGATCGGAGATTACGTAACGATAAAGAAGGTGACTCGTCTCGCACGGGTCCCGTACCTAGTCCGTGCGATCGGTGAACACCGACAGTAAACTACATGTTCAAAGGTGCATACTTACTGCGCGCCGCGTACGATCATTCGCGAGCCGACTATCGGTTCACCGCGACGAACGCAACGGTTGGCACACAAATCGCCGGGACTCTTTTATTTGGCAACGTTCCACCGTCTCCGAACGTTCCCACTGTGAGAAGCAAATGGAAAAGAAACGGCGCCGGATTATCCACCGACACGTGTGCCGATTTCGTATTAGATTCATTTGTAAGTCTACGAATTTTGTGCATTTGTACAAAAAATTGAAATGCACGAAGTGACACTTTTTAAATTAACAGCACTGATTGGTCTTTGCATAAAATCCCTCAGTCTAAGAAAGTCACTTCGTCCAATTTTTTCAATACTCAACTACGAATTGTAATGTGAAATAAATGAACAATTGTACTGTTGATTAAAATGTAATCACTCGATCGACTGCGCGAAGTGGATTGCGTTGGCCAGAGTAAGATTCGAATGACGAGCTTAGAAAGTGATAAACCAACGTTCTTCGATATTGCGTAATGTTTCACGTTGAAATTCGATCTAGGCGTCGCTTTCTACGACCAAGCATGCATATCGTCTCTCCGGAATAATGAACAAAAATCGGAACGATCGCTAGTCTCGCGGGAATTAAGAGATTGCCTAACGAAAAATCAAAAGAGTCGCTTTCTCTGTCACAGGCCGCGTCAAAGTTACTCAATACATCATTAAAAAAAGAGATTAGGCCTTGCAATATTTTCGTGTGCGTCGACGTCTTCGAAAAACTATTATAGAAGAGGAAGATTAGTGAAAAAAGAAAGAAGGATCGTCTCACCCTGTCGCGTTTAACAAGAAGCCACAGGTAGCATGGACGCAGTGAAGAAATAAGGGATGGCAGGTGATGCTTTAGCGACACAAATTCGTGGTGGTAGCCGAGCTTTCTCAATGCCACGGTGGAGGGGAAAGGGACAGGATAGGAGCCACCCGACCTGTCGAAACGACAGTCTACAATCGTCACTGCACGGCATCGGATACCTGCTCGTAAAAGCGGACTGCGTTCTCTCGTCTATTTCGGGTTTCGGGCAGTGTGTAGATTATGATCCCGGTGAAATCGATTGAACATCCATCGAACCGTTTCTGCATCGTCGACGTCGAACGAAAGAAAGAGCGTAATAAATTCGTGAACAAAAACGCTACGAGCGACTACCTTTAGATGCAAAAATGAAGAGAGCGTACATAATGTAAAGTACGTTCAAAGGATTCTATCGGGGACGATGCGATTTTAAAAGGATGGACAAGGAGTGATCCAGAACTCTGATTTCCTTTCAAATTTTCTCTTTATATCTGGCAGCTTTGCGTACAACACTCGTGTGCAACGATAGTCTGGAGAAGAAGGAGCAGATTGATAGGCGAAACGGAATACTCCCCTTGGATAGACTCTTATCGGATACGTCGAGGAACCTGGATGGACAGGAAACTATTCGAATGGTGAGCTATTAATTTATACTAAATCTTATTTTTTTATGTGATACATGAAGTAGGAAAATTTTGTCTTGCTGATTTTAAACGAGCATAGTATACTTTCTGGAAATCATTTTACGGAATATCACAGGTCATAAGAAAACACTGTCGGAGTCCCAAATCTTGGGTCCTGGGAAGGCGATAAGACGCTTGCTTACAGTGTGACTTATTATTCCTAGTGAGAAATTGCTAATAGAAATCAAATGTTAGCTCTGCGATATTCATAATTCTTCGGAGAATTTGAAATAAATAGTAATTCACAAAAAATAAATTTCACAATTTCAATGAAATAAATAAATTTAATAATCTCAATTTTTCGGAAAATTTGAAATTAAAACAAAACGAGATATGTCTTAAGAATTTCTACATTTTCTATATATTTTCTTTTTATTTCAGACGATTCTAACGCGGATTCAACGTGGCGAGCAGACCTTCAACGTTTATCCTAGAACGAATCTCGCAAGGAACCTCGACAAACGAGCCGAACATGCTCGCGATAAGCCGGCAAAAGCATCCTTTCTGGAGGGCGTCGCTTATCGTAACTTTTCTCAGCCTCGTCAGGCATTGTGAGTCAATGTCTGCAAGAAGACTGACGGAGCCGTCATCCTTATTTTCAAGTTTCGCCGACTCGAAGCGACAAGATCTCGGCTCGCCGAACGATTTATCCAGACATTTGATCGACTCTCAAACAGAGATACACCCCAATACAGACTCAGCCGCTTTCCACAGAAGCGTGTTCATCGCTCCTGCGTTACCATCGTGCGCGGATGGTTACGAAGCCGACGCGATGGGCAGGTGCGTGAAAAACGTGAACATCAATCACGAGGCTCACCTCGGCTTTCTCCTGCACCGATTGAACAATCGATTCGCGAACCGAGGAAGCCCCGAGGCATCCAACAATAAATGGAAAGTGTCCAATGAGCCCCTGCAGTTGAACGTTCCCTTGATCGTCACCGCGGACATCAACTCGTTCCGCGTCGACTACAAAGAGATCAAAGACTCGATCGAAATCCCTGTTGGAATCGATCTCCGGCAGTACGGTAGCTCGAAGGAATAGAAAAGCTTCGTTAGAAGAATGATCAATCGGTCTTGCATTAAACAGGACGGTCATGTGAAACTCTTTCGGCTTCTCGGCAAAAGCAGTTTTTAATAAGTATAATCGAAATTAATGTTCCCCGATCGAATCTCGAAAGTACCTATCAGTGCGCGACGTAGGAAAGCGCGAAAGCTGGGCTCACAAGCTTGCGGAGGGAACACGCTTGTGTCCCCATATCGTATATCGAAACAGACTGATTTTAGCGGTATTTACTTTATTTATAACACGAGAATAAAAAGAATCATGCGATCTTATCACGTAAAAATCTCGAGAAGAGGAGCAGCGCGCTGCTCTGGTAGCGATCAAAGTATTGTCTGTACAGCTTCGTATCATGTGCGTCATCGTGTTTACTCTTGTACGGAGAAACGTAAACCGTCGGTTTTCCCTTCGCGTATTATAAACAAATTCTTTTATACGTAAATTAACAAATAGAAAGGATTCTGACTGAATCGTGTTTTATAAACGGAATTGACTGTAGAAAAACAGGCATTTTTTTAAATTTGTTTCTCTGTGTAAATTATTTGGCGGAACGTTTTATGTCTCTCCATCGTAATCGAGTCGAAACTTGCGAGTACACCTACATTGTATAGCGAAAATACGTATCTACGTAGTATGAATGTTTTCGGTGTGCGACGTGGTCGTTGTTCTACGGTAGCGTTCCGGAAATAGCGACCGGAACGGTGAGGATCAATCATTCGTAGGATATCATTTAGCTCCGCGACCATCGATAGATTTTTTCAAACTTTTTACACGTACGATAAAATTTTTCTACGAGAAGGTACGCGCAAGTAGAATGCATGCAGTGCGAATAAGCCGCTGAAAATTCTTAGGACATATCGTCAGGAATCGTCTCGACTTTATTCGATAACGAACGGAATATCTCTACGTGGGGCTGCCACGTACGAAAAATTACGAAACCAACATCGCGGCCAGTAATCATTTTTGTTTACTTTCCTTTTCAATTGCTCTACGTATGCTTCGATGTGGTGTGTAATCTGTCTTCCTCATGTATCTGAATGTTGATTCGTGTACATATTAATTTGATTAAGAACTGTATATACATTGCATAATTAAGAATCGCGATCGACGTCTTAAACGTGTATTGTAACTGTATTAAAATATTATTGTATTATTTATAGCTAAAATATATCGATGTATATTACACATTGTCGTGTAGAAGTCGTTAGATCAGAAAACGTCGGAACGCGTTAATTAAAAAATCAGTCGATGTGTTCTCTGTTTCTTTTCTTCTTGTTATTTACAACAACCTGTCCAGGCATGATGATTACGTTAAAGAATCATTTCTACTCATTAAGCATTTTTTATTGTACATAACTTAATTATTGTTAATGAAACTGCATGTTACGTTGTACCAATGGACGTACTATTTTTTATACCCTTAAACCCTCTGGCTAAGAAGAATTTCTCCGTGGATTCGTCTCTGGTCGCTTGCGGCCTCACATTCTTCACACATTTGTAAAACCTCAAGAGGTCCTTCTCCAGGAGTTCAGACTTTCCACCGTCCCACACTTTGCAAACGAACGTCCCATCCGTTTTGGTGACCTGCAGAGCGAATTTTAAGGCAGCGTATCCAAGCCGAATTATGTTCTCATGGTCCAAGTCCCTCATGCCTGACGCGTTCGGTGCCATGTCGGACAAAACAACATCAGCTTTCTCGCCTTTCAACAAGTTCAACAGTTCAGTCTGAGATTTCGCAACAGTGAAATCCATGCCGCCTAACAAAGTAGCTCCTTTTATTGGGTATATGGGTTGCTTGTCTATCCCAATAACGGTCCCAACATTGCCATCCTTTTTTGCATCGGCATTTGTCATTTTAAGAGCTACCTGAGTCCAGCTCCCAGGTGCGGCCCCGCAGTCGATTACGATCTGCCCCGGTTGCAGAATTTTAAACTTTTCGTTAATCTCTATCAATTTGAACGCACTTCTACACCTGTAGTTCTCGCGTTTAGCCATCTCCACGTAGGGATCCCGTATCTGTCTCATGATCCATAATTGCGAACTGTGTGACTTGCCCTTCAAGTTTTTTGCGGTCTCCCGAAGCAACGGGTTGCAAGTGTGCAAGTCTCTTATTGTTATCAAAAGATTTCCATAGGAATACTTCATACTGGTACTAAATATAACCTAAACGAGGAGGTTCTAACTGCATACACAGGGCAGTTGTCTTCAGATTTCACTATTGATTCATCGGCACGGCGCGATCGGTGAAGGTGAATTTCAACCGTTAAAAATCATGTCACTGAACGTGATGTTATTAAAAAATGCTGCGATCCAATTCTTCTATCAGTTGATTGATACGAGCGGTGGAGTACGCATGCGTCGAGACCCTGATGATGGTGACCGATCTTCGTAGCTACGAAATGTGGCTCGTGCGCTTGCCGGCGAAGATGTGATAGAATTCTACGAGTAAACGACCGTCCGAACGAATGTTGCGATCGTACAAGTGATCTACGATGAATCTAACTACGGGGAATTCTTACGGGAATGGTTTACTTTACGCTGGTTTCAATCAGGATCAAGGTACCTAACCAACCAAGCTACGTCTTCTGACAGACCCGTCGTGTTCTGTCAAAATTCATATTTTCAACCCCGGCCTCTGCCTCTACCTAACACCAGCTGCGTTCGCTTATCACGATTTGATTTCCTAAAATAATCAACGCCGTCCTGAGAATACACCTTGCGTTTATGTACTACTTATGTTTCAAGTCATTGAAATTCAAAAACCTGTTATCATCCCCTTCTAACCTTCTTCGTATAGAAATATAAATTTTTAATAATAAACATAGACATTGTTCACAAATTTATTTATAAACCTTAATCCCTCTCTTCTTAATGATCCACACTTTTCTTCCTCATTTTTCGAATTATCACGTAGCAACGTGCTATTACCAATTAAATCACCTGTGGATTTACTTTCTACGTAACCTGGTTAAGAAAAAAAATTGCTGGTTAATAGTTATTTTTCCAACGCATTTTTTCCTTTAATATGTTTTATTTATATCGTGTGATAATACATTATGAACACTTCGACGATAATCGTATGGTTGTGCTAGTTTATCTCCTTGAGTTTCTGTGTATTCATATCTTGAATAGAGAATACGCTGACCTGAAATAGTGTGAAGCCGAGGAGAAAAAGTATAGATAACAATATCTTTATTATTCGTGTGATCTTTTTTTACTTGTAGGATGTTTCGCTTGTGGCATGGAGAACGGCTTCAGAGTATATAACTGTGACCCTCTGAAGGAAAAAGCACGTCATTTTAGTGATGGTGGCCTCGGTTATGTAGAAATGCTATTTAGGTGTAACTATTTAGCATTAGTTGGCAGTGGAGTGAAACCCATGTACCCAACGAATAAGAGTAAGTTACCCGTATTTTCTACTTTGATACGAGAAGAGAGTAAATTAATTCTTACGCGATACTTTCAGTTATGATATGGGACGACCTTAAAAAATCGCCAGCAATCACTTTAGAATTCAACGCGCCTGTGAAAGGTGTAAAACTGAGGAGGGATAGGATAGTCGTAATTTTAGAAGGAGTTATAAAAGTCTACACGTTCACGCAGAATCCGCAACAACTACACGTATTTGAAACCAACCCGAATCCCAGGGGCCTGTGCGTGTTATGTCCAAGTAGTAGTAATTCCTTGCTTGCCTTTCCTGGTAGGAAGAATGGACACGTTCAAGGTAAAATTTGAGCCGAGGTTTCCTTGCTCTCGTCTGTCGTGTTTTCTTAAATAACTGTTGTTCATCCGTGCAGTGATAGATTTAGCTAATACAGAGAAGCAGCCACTGAATATCGAAGCACATGAAACACCCTTGTCGTGTATAGCTTTAAATTTACAAGGCACCAGATTAGCTACTGCTTCAGAAAAAGGAACACTGATAAGAGTATTCGAAACACAGACTGGTAATATGATTAATGAATTGAGGAGAGGAGCTAATCATGCAAACATTTACTGGTAAGGAATCAACGGATATCGTGAAGTTCTCATTTTTTCACACGTAATGTTGACCGATCGAATGTTGTTACAGCATTAATTTTAATCACGATTCAACTTGGCTATGCGTAGCCAGCGATCATGGTACTGTGCACGTTTTCGCCGTGGAAGATCAAAAATTAAATCGCCAATCTAGTTTAGCGTCCGCCACTTTCCTGCCAAAATACTTTAGTTCGAACTGGAGCTTCTGTAAATTCGAAGTTCCAGGAGGACCGCAGTGCATATGCGCGTTTGGAACTAACAATAGTATTATAGGTAAATAATTATATTATAGTAACAGCGATACTCTTGAAATCGAACGACTAACGGTGTATTTTTATTTTCCAGTAATATGCGCAGACGGTAGTTATTATAAATTTGTGTTCAATAACAAAGGCGAATGCACGAGAGACTTTTATGCACAGTTCCTCGAATTAACGGACGACAAAATGTGATCGGAAAGCGGAGGAGGTAAACTCCTTAATCTCCTTCTGTGTCCCGATGAAATCTGTATGTTCTGTGAATTTTCGTTGTAAATATTGGTTGCTAAGCGGATGAATGAGAATACATACATACATATTTTTTAACACGATTATTTTCAGTCTTTACTCGGTATCAGTTCACACGATATAGTTTATATCGAAAGCGAGCACCGCGTTTGTTAATTAAATCGAGATACCGTTTTATATGTGGTAGAGGACCAAACGAAAAGTACTATTATTTGTTGGTGTTATATGCACTGCGCGCGAAGTATCGATGATTGAGAAAAAAATTTTAAAAGTACGATAGAATGTATTGTTATCGGATTGTTACGTGGGCCTATCTCGAATAGATGTTTATTAATAAGTTCTTAAATGTTACGGGCGAAGAATCGAGCTCGCTGTCATTTTATATTCGCGTATAAATCAATTTTGTTACATCCGAATTAAATCATTTTTGGTAACGATATTTGCCGATCCGATCATGTACTTTTTTATATTTATTTTATAAAATATTCTGTTTAATATAAATAAATTATGTCCCGAACATTTCCCTCATTTCGTACCGTGAGTGCTGACGTGAAACTGGGATAGAGACAAATAAATAAATGGGACGTATATAACGTAACCGAGTTTTGTAATCTTTATTTTTATGGTTTCGTACATTTAACATACATATACACAAGAAATATATAACTACGTTCAATCGTTATTATTGAGATATTACCAGAAAATATCAAGGTCGTAGTGTTAAAAAGTGGTTGGGATTGGATATGAAATAAAAATGATTACGAGACGAAGCTATATGTACTTGTTTATAATAAAATATCGATGATGAATCAGTTGCAAGCGATGTATTTCACTTTTCTTTTTGATTGATGCCTGAATTGTGATGGTACTTCTAACAATGAAAATTCAGTCTCACAGAAGAAAAATATACTTTGAACAAAAGTTTTCGAGGACCTAGCGTAGTCAATTGAAAAGATTCGAACGACTTGCCGTAGCAACAGCCGAAGTGAAAAATATATGTACACATTACGGTATATGCGTCGCCGCATTTCGATATGCAGATTTAGACTCGTGTATGTTAAGGATTAATCGTTTGTAAGTCTCTGTGCGTCGGTCAGAGATTCGATATATCATTAAAATGAAAATAGGATGCGAATTCGCCTATAATTAATTGTAACGCATGAACGAGAAGTAGCACGTGTAATAATACAAAGCATGCTTTTCTTTGTACTGCAAATCCTCCTCTGAGCTTTTATAAAATGAAACGTCGCCGTGTCGTATTCATATATATAATATAAAGATAGGATGCACAGTGCTTTTCCAACGCGAGTCAATCGCGTTTTACTTACATCGACCAATGCAAAACATGACCGAACCCGAGTAAAATTCAAACACCTTAGGCGAGACCATAGGTCCAGCTGATATTCGTTTAAAAAACACTGTCGTTCGAAGGACACCCTTCTCAATGCCGCGGGAACGTTTTCCACTCGTTCACGTTTCATTGTAACGAATAAATCCGACATCTATCGCTACTTATTCTATCCCGTCATGGAATACCTTCAAACCTCGAACGGTTCGTTCGTGTGCGCCGGAACGGCCTTCGGCTTTTGCATCACTGTGACTAGAGGCTTTTTATTTACGTGGTGGAGAATGTGGTTGAGCCTCTTCCTCATCTCAAGACTTTTATAAGCGCTGTATACGACGAACCACACATAAGTATTAGTAATTACAAGAGTCAGACCGATCATGCCTGCAAGAAATCCTCAATGAAGACAGTTCTTAATATTCATTAAACTGTTTATTTCGCCTCATATTTTTGTCAACGTACGTTCGCAAATGTCGGCTTTACCGCCGAAGGTGGCGATGAATGGACAGTCCTGCTCTACCAGGAACAAGGATATTGTCAACCCCGAATTTATAGTCATCATGACCATCATCCAAGGCGCCATGAAATGACGATTGTTCTATCGGAAAAAAGTTATTTGTTTTATCACAGAATCGATCCTACCTAAAACGTTATTACCGTGAGCGCGCCGTATAGGAGTAGGATCGTGGAGATAAAATGTATCACCGTGATCACCAGCCCGCAGTACATCGCGTAAACCGTTTCTGGATATTCGTTTAAACGATTTAGAATTTGTATCAAGGAGTAGAATAATATAGAAGTAAAGAATAATAAGGAAATATGCAAGATGATATTACAAATACCAGTTGCATTATGGTGTGCCATGTCCATCCGCTTGGTGTTTAAATGATTCGACGATATATCTTCGAGCGCCTCTCTCTCAAGGGCATCCTCCGTGTCCCTGGCTACCATTTCTTGGATTACCATAGTGTGCGCCAGGGCTAGTACGAAAATTAATATGCTAAACCCAGACGTGAACTGTATTAAAAAAATAATGAAATCAGTCGTCGGTTTTCTTATATTACAACAATAAACTAGTGGTTGATCCCATTTACCAGTTGCAGCACAGCTATCAAAACTGTGCCCTGCTCTAAATTAAAGTAGTACAAAAAATTCTTTAACAATCCTACTTTCATCTTGTCTTATTTCTTCCTTTCAACGAATCCCAACAAAAATTGGTATCCTGAAATTGAGAAATAATTTTACAGTCGACGTAAAAGACAGTTCAGAAAAATAAACACAGGACCGTCAATAATCGCAGTTGCACTCATTGTGAGTGAAGATGCAACGATAAAAATAAGAAGGAACAGGAAGAGGAAGTGTCGCGCTTAACGAAGAATGTAGACGAGTTCTAAGCTCGTCACTTTCGAAGGGAAAGCGCAGTGTCGTTACTCACCTTGCGGAAAAAGTCGCACGGAATATCGCGAACGTAATTCACCGCGAGAATCAATAACTTTCACTGTCTCTCGTTCGAGCGAGAGCGGAGGGTCGGATCCTCGGCCGGAATTAGGGTATCACGCAAAAGGTCTAACGAAAACAGGAGTACGCTTATCCCCCGGTGACAACCTCGTACGAGGCAGCGAGAAGATTCAAAGGGGTGTCCGTTTGCGTGCGTTCGACGCGCAAAACGCGAGTCTACCTCGTCCGGGGAGTAGAGGCGAACCCCTAGCTGTAGATTACACGACATGCGCACGAGACTGATACCACTGTCGCATCCTTCAACGTGCACTCCGTTCCCAATTGATCAATGATTGCTGCTACCGTAAAATTATTCATTTTCAGCATATTTGTCAAAAAGATGAATCGTGTAGAATAGCATGATTAA